TGTAAGCAAACGGCCTACATTTATATGGCAATTTCCCGCGTTGTAAGAGGCGCATCTCTTACAAAACTATCCGTCCGGTTAAACACCCGCTCCGGTCGGAATTCGTCGGACAACTGTCCGAGGATCCGACTCACAAAAAGCGCGAAGCTTACCGAGCTCACACTCTGGCACACTTCGGCCGATCGGATAGCTCGTATCATCACCTCTTATAGTGCTAAGATTACTACATTCGGCCATACTGATGCTGTGGCGACCCTTGCCACAGGTCAAGAGTCAGACACCCGCAACCCCTACGGCTCCGTAATGCAATAACTATCACCAGCGAGCTAATCCGATACTCTGAAAATATCAACCCGATGGATGATACTTCACCAGAATCTTCGAACGCTCTTTATTCACTCACGTGACGCGATACTATCACTCGTACCACGCTCCACGCACACAAGACCCAGGATAAACTTCTACTCCAGCACGAGCATCACTCCTGACACTCTGCTGATAGACAGTTTCCTCCCGCATGTGTCTGCTTTCCACCAGTATCCTCAGGATGATCCACTACTCCAGCTCAAGTGATACAACACTTACTGATAGTGTCAATCCCGCCGGTGAAGCACTTCTCACTAGAATCCTCAAGAACGACCTCTAATCCAGTGATCGTGTACGCAAACACTTCCCTGTTAGAGCGTCAATCCTCGCAAGTGAGACATTCGCACCAGGATCCACAAGAATAATTTCTAATCCAGTACTAGTGTACGCAAACACGTTCCTGTTAGACCAATTATTCCCGCAGGTGCTCAACTTGTGTAAGTTTCCACAGGAAATGTTCAGCTCTGATCGCAGCACAGCTTTGCGCGATCAATCGTGGAGCAATTCCCGCATACACAATTTACGCGCCACCTCAGATTCAATTGCCTCTCGAGAACCAGAAATGATTGCTCATTCTCCATGGCTTCCTCAGATCGGCATCACAGTCCACTCGTCATCAACAAACTCCTTTATTGACAAGTAGTGACCCACACAAATCCCGTGACACCAACTCTTCAGCACAACCAGTTCAGCGGAATTCAACTTTATTTCACATTCTTGCGATTGATTACACCTTAAATCGCACACGATTTCCCTGAACTCACTTCTGCTGGGAAGAGTTTCCACCAAGATCATCACCACCAGCCACTCGCAGACCCTTCATCTTGGGACAGCTCCGAATGAGGTGCTCCTTTGATCCACAAGCAAAGCAGACTCGCTTAGATTGCCCTGAGTTCTTAGATTCCTTGTCCTTCTTCGTCTTTCCCTGGAGTGAAGTGGCACTGTTGACACTCGAATGCCTGGAACATTCTCCCTGGACTTCAGATGTCTCTTGTGCACCATCATCCGCTCCACACTGTTTCTTGGATGAGGAATCGGAACTCGCATCAGAACAATCATCATCCGTAGACTGCGGCTGCACTTCCGTCTCCTTCATCTTGGTGTTCGTCTCCACTTTCTTCATGTACACCAAGAAATCTGTGAGAGGGCCTTGTGGAGCAGCTGCGAGCAGCCCGCGCGTCAGGACATCCGACACACCGTTGATCAGATAATCCCGAATTGAGGCATCATCGAGTTTTATACGCCTGGCCTGCTTGACCACGTCATGGAAGTACGTCTCCACAGATTCATCGCTCCTTCTCTTCCTTCCCGTGAGCACTTTGTGAACATCCGCAGCAGTCAACTTTTGAGGGAAGTTCTTCGTCAACTCCACCTTAAAATGCTTGTAATCCCTGATGTTCACTTCATTCCCTTCATACCAGACTTTAGCTGAGCCCTGGAGACGGATGATTGCAGTGAGAAGCATGCGCTGAGGTTTCAGGCCATACAATGCTGCGACATTGTCAACTTTCCGCAGCCACTCACTGGCCAAAAGCGATCCTTCCTTTCCTGGCTCGAATGCGGGAATCAGAGCTTCGATCTCCTCGACGGTCAATCGCGGACTCGATGACCTCATCACGACAGATTCACTTGCGTCACTTGAGTCGTCACTCTCTTCAGGATTCTCTCTGTCCTCCCTAATTGACAAATCGCGATACCACAATCGACTGGACATCTTCGCAAAGCCTCGATGGTTCGACAACACAGGAGATTTGTCAATCGTCGAAATCTCTGGGTGAAATTCACCGAAAAACACCGCTCAACAAACTCGACAGCTTCCTCCTTTGCAGCCTCTCTGTGGGACACGAAAAATCATGATTAAACCCGGCACCATTCGCCTTCTCTGCCCTTCACGTGATACCTACAATCAAATGGGCAAATATCCTGCTTAAATCAAGGCAAATTACAACAAGGAATAATGGTTTAATCAACTTTTATGCGGACATGAAAATTTCACTTCTTCACAGAGAGTATTGCGTCACCAAAATGGCTGCGAAGGAGAATCTGTCAATTGTATGCACGCAATGCATATGCTGCAAGAGAGGGCAGTTAGCAATTCAACACAATGAAAATGCAAATCACGCCACCCCAAATGAGAGCTCTCCACTCACACACACATTCGCACATACACAGGGCGCTCTGCGCGACACACTTTCCCCTCCCACAGGAGCGAGAAGCGGCTCGCGCATTTTACTTAGCTTTCGTGGTCGTCTGTGTAAGTGATCGAAGCCGCTCTTCACACACTCTTGTATGGAGACTCCATTTTTCTTCTCTCGATCTCCAGACAACATGTCGTCCACTCCGGATGCTCACGTCCAGGTTCCTCATGTTGCCGACTTCCTGGCCATCAGAGTGGAATCCCCAAGGCATCTTCCCTCGATGACTTGGCAGAGAACGCCCGAGAAAAGCTCCTTCCCGGCATGCTCACTTACACAAACACTCGCGACACACGCGTCACTTATTGCGCAATACTTTCTGCGCCCTTTTCGCGATCTTTTCCCTTAAATTGCGGACATTTAGGGCAAAGATCCCACTTCTGATTAAATGTAAGCAAACGGCCTACATTTATATGGCAATTTCCCGCGTTGTAAGAGGCGCATCTCTTACAAAACTATCCGTCCGGTTAAACACCCGCTCCGGTCGGAATTCGTCGGACAACTGTCCGAGGATCCGACTCACAAAAAGCGCGAAGCTTACCGAGCTCACACTCTGGCACACTTCGGCCGATCGGATAGCTCGTATCATCACCTCTTATAGTGCTAAGATTACTACATATTGCAAATTAAGCAATTTGCTGATGACTTCATTATAAGTAACATAACCTAGAAAAATATGTTAAGAAGCAAATCTGCGGCTTTATTGTACTGATAACATTCTGCACATGTGATTCTCTTTACGAGAAGTAACCAGAAAAGTGATCTTTAAGCAACTCCGAGTTGAATTTATGAAAATTGGCCGGAAACCCTGGATTCTTCCCTTGTATATGTGGTGGATAAGAAGGGTGAAAGTGAGCCTCTCTGCAGTCCAATTCACTTGTCGAATGGATAATTGTAGTTGGGCAAACAGCAGATGGTTCCGCACTCATTCTCTGCAAGTGTTGACAATTTTAATTGATTTCCTCGCCCTCATTTCCGCTGCCTGTGCACGAGAAAAAAAACTCCCCATTCAGCGCTTAAACATGTGAATTCATTGCCGTTTAAATGTAATTGTCCACACCAGTTATTCCACCCTTCGCGTCCATCGCGGGGAGAACACGGCGAGGAATCAATTGTGCTGAGAAAGTGAGGGCAAACAATATTGAATTTTAATTAGAAAACACTTCTACAATTCACGTGCCGACGCTGTATATTGCGCACCCGTGGACAAACACGGCATCGCACTCCTTGTCTTGTCATTAATGCTGAATATTATATATTTAGCGAGGGTGCGTGTACTTTGGCATCTAATCATTCGCCAAATAGCGATGGCAGAGCAAACATAATTTATTTTTCTCACGCCAGAATAGAGACGAGAGAATTTACAACAATGAAGCTGTGTGATGACTTCAAAGTCTTTCCTGAATCATTAATTGGATTTAATTAGTGAAACTGTTGCCGAGAATTTCTCACTTGAGCCTCTCGTGCCTGAGACCCTTGCCTAAATCCGTCTTCTCGTGCTAATTTCCTGCAAATAGACAAGCGTCGAGAGTGTCTCGAAGACGACCTGGCAAGAATGGAGGAAATGATGAAGAGCAGAGAAGAGAGTCGATTGAATTTTAAGCTTCCTTGAGATGTTCTCACCTTTCCTAATGAGGTCAGGAATTTAACAAGTGGAAGGAAAGTTTAAAAACTTAAATAAATCACTGAATTACAGTAGTGATTTTCAGTAGTAGAGGCCCACTTTCCTTTTGGTGCTGAAAATTCGATATTTCTTTCAATTTTAGAGACATTTACCCTAAGACAAAAGATGATTAGAATTTTATTATCTTTTAAATGGCGTTGAGATCATGGTAATATCTCAATTCGGGGTCGAGATATTGCAAAATACAGAGAAATGTGCGCCAAAAGACAGCGAAAATTATGTTAAGACACTGCTTAGATTGCTTTGAATCCACAATATAATCATAAAACTAGCTTAGATAAGCGCATTGAATATCTAGAAAACATTTACACTCTAAATGTGCATTGATTTTGACTCAAAAAATTGCTTTTCGTATTATTTTAGCTTCCTTTTGAACGCTTTTGTACCATTTTGCTCTTTAGAAAGTGTGATTTTTAGCCAATTTCTTATTATAATGTCCAGAAAATCGGTAATTTCTGATTGATGTATGGCAGGAAAATGGTTCTAATTGCGTTTTTCATACCCTCTAGCATTAAAGTGTTCCAAACCTTGCCATAGAACCCAGAATTGTAGTAATTATAGCACACAAAAGTACTCAAAAATACAATAATAATAAGAACTATAGCAGAGGCTTTGCTAGTTCCTTGATAAATTGCTCTCATTTTCCTGAGCAAAACGCTTAAACATATCTAAATTATTCACATCGAGGAATATCACATTGAATATCATGGTGAAAAAGCCTCTCAGGCCATTAGTTGTGTGAAAATAGTTAAACAGAAGGTTGGAAGTTGGGTCTAAAATTGCACATTTGCATCTTCGAGGCGCGTAGTAAATTAGAGTAAAACAAATTAGGTGATTCTCATGTAACCGAAGGAGTTTCTTCGTTCGCCCAGTGGAATTTATTGACGACATTCAGAGAGCAAGTTTGCCAGTATTATGTGCAATTCTCCGGCTTTGGGAGACGCAAATGAGAATAAACACCTTTTTCAGGACTTTTTAAGTATTCATCCCAGCACGTCCGATGACTTTGAGCACAGCCGAAAGCTTTTGCAAAACTATCTTGCAAATGTGGCGCAATATTCTGTAAATGGGCAAAGTTTGTATGTTAATTTTTCCACAATAACTGCAAAAGATGAGGAAAATTTTCCATGCAAGAGAGACTCAGTGGATTTGTGCTAATAAATTTCAATGATCATAAATAGATTTTATTGTGTTTAAGGGGTTAAAATTGTGCAAGAAACTTCTTGTTTCTTTACCACTAAATGGCCCTCGGCGTTGCTTCTTTACGACCGCACCGAGGCAACATGTTTTATTTGCAAATTTCCCGCCATCTTCCCCCGATGGAGGCACATTTTAGGGTTAAAAATTGAATTATGTGCATTTAAATGAGCGCCCAGGATGCGTGGATAAGGCAGCGAGTGTGAGCGAGAGAGAGAGAGAAAGAGAATTTTTATGACCCAATATTATGACCAATAAAAATTATTTTTTCCTCCCATTCGGCGTTGCCTGCGGAAGCGCGACCAGGACCAAGGGGGAGATAGTTCAGTCAGAAGTGGTGCACAGCTCAGCAGAAGTACTTGAGAAGTGGAAGTGTTGAAAAACTTACAATCTTCCTTTCCTGTATACTTCTTTTACTGACTAATCTTCCGGATTCCTTGGATTTCCTTCGAATTGCGCAAGGAAATAATCGTTTTCTAGGTTATGTCACGAATTACGGATGAATTTAGTGAATATTTTGCATTTTAGCATTAAAATTCTCACGCTAAAGTCGCTTAGACTGCTAATCTTCGGCAGAATTAGTCATTTTCATGCGATAAACATGGCTAAACACTGCAAAATGTGTTGAGATCGAACATAACCTCAAAAAGAGAATTGTAGATTTAGGAAAATGTTTATTTAAACTACTTTCTGCACGATTTTCACATTAAATCAGTGATTTTGAGTTGAGAAAATGATTTTATCATCTTGACAGCTTCCAATTGAAGTCTTTAAAGATTTCTTAGTGATATTTTTGAGGTTATGGTCAGATGAGATGCTGAAAAAATCGGTTTCAAGTGGATTTTTTCATGGAACCTTTAAGATCTTTATTATAGTTTAGGAATTTGTTGTGGAAACAGTCTTGAAATCTGAAGTGCTGGAAGTGGTGTACAAATTAAGAGCATATTATCTCCCCCTTGCCCAGGACGAGGCAATTTCCCCGGCCTCAGAGGCGCACGGGCAGTGAAATGGAAAAGCTCAGGGACTTGCAAGTACTAAACACATAATTAATTTTATAACATTTCGTTCCCACGCGCTTCTCTTTCCGCTCTATAAACTCCAAATGCTTTTCTTTCTCGATTTTTCCAATAATACCCATGAGAGATTACATCACCTCCGGCCAATGTGTGTGTGATGAAGGAGCAACAAAGAGATTGTGGGATGTGTAAGACCCAGGATTGGAAGAGGAATTCGGTTGGAAAATATTAAAGACGTTGGAGTGAAATTCATATCATTTGCCGGAAATTCGACAATATCGCATGAAATTCTCTTTAAATCTTTGAGGATGAGTTGAATTAGAAAATTGCAAGGAAATAATGACTTAAGCTCCGTGAATTTAGCTGCAAAATGAATCATTCTTTACTTGGAATTGGTCGGAAAATCCCTATTTTTCACTGTGAAGCAGCTTTGCCAGAATGCTTGGACGGCGCGAGTGTGGAAATCTGTTCCGTAATCCGAATAGACTTTGGAACAATTGATGTAAAAGTGATGTAGGTTTCCGTCTTACTGAGCGCCCTTCCGCTCCAACGCGGCCAGGAAGAGCAATAAAGTGGATTGTGGGAAGTTGCACACATGGACACGCTGCAATGGGGTGTTAAATGTGCGAAAACGGAATCTGCGTGTTGGATTTCACACCATTTTCACCAAACATTGCTATCGAAATCACTGGAGATTCTCACACATAAATTGTGATATTCATGAATTCTTTTTGATGCGAGAAGTTCTGATTGACGCGAACCTTCGAGTAATTATTTGACGAGAGTCTTCGTGGAATGTATAATTTCTCATTTTGGTTATTCAAGAGATGAACTCTCTGACGTCAATTAGCGAAAAGACGCGCTGAAGGAGGAAAAAAGCTGCGGACACGATGAATTTTCCTAATATATTCACTTTGAGTGCCTTTCACACCTGATAAAATATTCAAGACACTCCAATTCAAAGTCTCATCCAAAGGACTATAAAGGATTACTAAAAAGCAACTAATTTAATTGGCAATTTCAAAGGTTCTTAAGAGAGTTCCTGGTAATCCAGCGAAGGACGAATAAAATATCATCTGTTGGAGTGCAAGAAACATTTTATTTACTGCTTATGACATACAAAGGGGGAGATATTTACACTGAACACTTCAAAAACTTGAAATTTGTCAATTAACTTCTAAATTATAATGAATTTCTTAAGTTTCCATTCGATATTTTTGTAGAATCCACCAAAATCCGCTCTTTCTGGGCATCTTTTTCGACCATAACCTCAAAATATCACTAAGAGATATTTCAAGTTTGCATTTCGAAGCTTTCCAGATCACAAAATCATCTCAAAATTGCTGATTCAACGTCAAAATCGTGCAGAAGGTTTTCAAAGGCAACATTTTCCAAGTCTAGATTACTATTTTTGAGGTTATGTTGCATCTTAACGCAAGTTTACAGTGTTTCTTTGCATAAAAATGTCAGAATTGCTTAATTCTTGTGGCTTGAAGATAATAATTGATGTGCTAGAATGTGAATTGTCTATCAAATCTATCCTTGATTCGATACATAACCTATAAAATGATTCTTGTGATTGTTTCTAAGAAGATTTTTGAACACTTCCACTTCAAAAGAGTTTCGCTGAGTTGTACACCACTTCTGACTGTATTATCTCCCCCTTGTGACATACAATATTTGGGTATTTTACTTATTACAGCATGAATTTGAGTTCTAAATGCTAAAAGTGTACAAAATAGCACAATAAGAGACTGCAACTTTTAGAATTGTAATTAAGGCATAGATATTAACATTGTACATTCCTGCCGCCTTCAATCCATACTGTCTTTGCATCATTGCGAGGATGAGAAGAAATACTTTCTGTTCCTTAAGGCTCAGTTCATACCAATTCGTTTGATACAAGTTAATTGACAGTTTATCCATTTTCACCTTCATGAGCTCCCCAAAAAAGCAAAGAGCAAAAATTTGCACAAGAACGCAAGGAAGCATAATGTATGTTGCGATTTTGTCGTTTTCCTTTCTTGCGTACACGAACATGAACAGCAAAATACATGTGCTGCTGAAGAATTGAATCAATGACATTTCATTGAGAGCCTCGTTGTAGATATTGATGTGTTTTATAACTTTGCAGTGTTTCTCTATAATTGTTTTGAAAAATTCTGATTTAGTTTTGATTTTATCAACGGATAATTTGTTATATTCGTCTAAGATGCTCAATTCGGCCATTAGATGAATACTAAGATAAGCAATTCCGAAATCAGCCAATATTGTACTTATTGCAATTATTTTCAAACTTATTAATTGGATAAGATGTGAAATTTCTTTTCCGACAACATCATGTTCTGATAGGAAAGGAATGTATATGAAAAGTCCAATTTCGGGATTGATCCTGAACTGAATGTAGATAATTATGCATATGGCCATAAAGATGCGAAAAATCAGTCTGTAATGTAAGAAAAATTGATTGTTTGAACATAAATAATTGATTTAATTGCAAAAATTGTATAATATTCACGTACAAAGAACAGAATTTCCATGTTTTCAACGAATTCACGAGGAACTTTTCCACAATTGGATTGAGATCGTCGTCTGAATTTTCTGCGTAAAGTTCTTCAATGTCTCTTAACAAACTGATAAGCTTCTCACGATGGTGAAATCCACAAATAATTTTCAAAAAATATTGTAATATTGCAATTACAGTGACAATAGAAATCAGCAAATTCATATTAAATTCACCATTAAATGTTATTATTACGTGTGCAAAAACCGAAAACATTAATAGAAAAGTGAATACATTAGAAAAAATCAAATAAAATCTGTCTCTACGTGAATTAGAGAGCAAATTTGATGTTAAGAAAGACATTTGAAGATTAATCAGTGAACTTTCCTTCTTGAATAACTCCAAACGATTCGACATTGTGAAGTAAAATATCCGATCAATCGAAATTCTTGCACCAAACTGACCATTTGAAAGGAATGTCGAGTGTTAAGTTGGGAAAATATGTCGCAGTTTTCACCAATGGAAAAGCGTGAAACTGTTCTCTGTAATTAAACACCGAGAATAGATGAAAAGTGTGGGATATTGAACAATTGATTTCATGCATTTTCAACGCAATTGACGTAGAAAAGCTCAATAAGGATTTTTGAAAATTAATCAGTGAGCTTTCCCGTTTGAATAACTCCAAATGCTTCGTCATTTTAAAGTCAATCAATCAATTCAACTACTTGAAATTAACTGATGATTTCGCAAAACATTTCATTTCATTTGTTAGTTGGTGAATTGGGTTAAATCCGTTCCTTGTAATTAAACACCGAGAATAGAAGGAAAGTGTGAGACATTTTGCACCTGTGAATCAGTTTAATAGATGCATAAAATATTCATGATTTTTCGCCGACAAAAAGATTACAAAGAGGTTACGATCAATATTTTCGAACAAAATGATATTTTTTGGTAGTGAATTTTCCCGCCAAGTAAAGATTAGCAGTGGAAAAGGCCAATAAGCTTGTTGTGATAGATTCAAGGGGAATCCTTAACACTTCCCAGGACTTCAAACGTCGTGGATTGTTTATGACAAGACTAAAATTCACTAATGACTGAAATCTAACCAAAAACTAACTGAAATCTAACCGAAATCTAATTTAAACGTAAATAACAGTTTTTAGCATTGATTTTAATAGAATATTTGATGAATCTCTGCTTTTAATTACATTTTTCGACATCAACTCCTAATTGGTATCTTTCTGGCTCAAAATTTGGTGTTGTGAAGTTAAACATTGAGGTTATGTTTGACTTTATTATTGTTTCTTAACACTTCAGCTTCTAAAATCACGATTTTCATTGAATAAAAAGAAACGGTGGATATATTTTGAATTTAGGCGTAATTATTTCGACTCTAAGCTGTTTTTTAGTCTTAAATCAGTAACATAACCTAGAAAAATATGTCAAAATTAGAACTTGGATAAAAATTAATGTCTGTGAGTAAAATAATCAACAGAAAATCAAAGCTGTGAACCAAATATTGCATAAATTGCAATAATTCCACTTCCTAAAACATCTAATGATCTGTACACCACTTTTGGCCATATTATCTCCCCCTTGGATAGATTGGAGCTTATTTGCCTTTTCTATTGAGAATATTTGAATGGTTTTTTGAATTAACACCAGAGGAAGAATGATCTTTTTAACAAGTACGTCTTTTGTGATGTGATCTTTATTGTTGATCAAGCAAACATCATTATACATATTACAATAATATTAAGCTATACATTTTATTTAGTTGAACTCTTTCCGCCTTCTGATTGTGTCTTTTCATGCTTGTCACAATGACAATGTTATAAAATTCCTTCTCCGACCTTTTGACCGCCAAAACGTCAATTAAAATACTTTTGCTGGACATCCAAAAGCCAGCGAAGGATGCGTAAAAATCGTGATAAAAGCAATTTGAAATGCCAAAACTTCTGCAATGTGACACAAAGGCGACGCTTTGGCTGCGGGAAATAATTGGAATGTGAAAATGATGTTGCCTTTGAAGTGGATTTGAGCCTTGCAATGGCACACGTGGGGGAGTGAAGCGGAGTTGGGGGTGTTAAATTGTTGAGTGGATGCTTCAAAGGGCAAAATTATCCCTTTCAAATGGTAGAGAATTTTCCGCTTAATCCTTGCTGAATTGAGTTTACTCGCTCAAACTATACACAATAGCGCAGTAAGTGATGGACAATTTGACAATCTGGAAGAAGTAAAAGAGGATTCTTTAAGAGGAATCATGGAAATTGTGCAATTAGCGATTGATACACACATTTAGGAACAAATAGATATTGATATCGTACATTCCTGCTGCTCTCAAACCATATCGCCTTTGGGTCATCCTGAGGATTAGCAGGAATGTCTTCTGCGTCTTCAAGTTCAACTCATACCAATTGCTCAAGTACAGATTTATCGATAGCTGATCAGTTTTGATCTTGATAAATTCACCAAACAAACAGAAAACCAGAGTTTGTGCCATTACACAAATACATAATATATATGCGGTGATTTCGAGCTTTTCCGTTCTTATAAATGTAAAAATATTCACCAATAAAATTGAACACGTGAAAATCTGGATAAAAGATATTTTGTGTATGATTTTGTTCAATAAATACATAATTCTTATAATATCACAGTGATATTTCAAAATTACTTTCACAAAATCATGATTATCCTGCATTTTATCACTGTGAACTTTTATGTAGTTATTGAGAATATCAATTGCAGCGATAAGATGGAAAAAAATGAAGATAAGACCAAAATCAATAAAGATTACAAACAAACTAACAGGTGGTATGAGTAGAATTTGGCCATAATATGTTATTTCCAAGGATAATTCTCTCTGTTCATCGTTTAAATTTAAAAAAGGCACTTTCATTATTAATCCCATTTTAGTGTTTGGTTTCATACTAATCACGGTTGCAAATGCACTTGCAGTAAAGGTAATTAAAACCCATCTGGAAGTTTAAAAGACACTTTAAATTGTGATCTTAAATTTGTATAAATTCACTGTACTTCTTTAATATCTTCCAAATTTTGAATGTCAGCATTAATGTCTGTTCCATTATCAGTTTGAGGTCAGAATCAGCTTCATCTTCGTCTTCTTCTTCTCTTTCTTGATAAAGGGACGCAATCCATTCGTAGATTTCCAGAAAACTCTTTCGCTCCAGTGAACCGAAGAAGAGTTTCGATAATATTTGCATAAGACCGACAAGGATCATAATGGTGAGGATAAAATTCAAATTTAGACCTTTTGGCAACTCTTCCACAAAGTGTAAAATCACAAAAGCAAAAGCAATTGAACACGTAATCATTTGATATGCAATTATAAGTCGATTTCTTAACGGTCCGGATGAAATATTGCAAGTTGCCGCCGATACTTGAAAGTCTATCACTGATTTTTCACGAATAAACAACTCCAATTGCTTGGAAATCTTCATTTTTCTCGCAAAATTACGTTGAACAGCGTTCGAATGTTTCTGTGGTTGAAATTGTACTGATTTTATAATTGTTGCTTCAGACACAAATGTATGAAATAAAGTGTCAAATTACATATGCATCAAAGCTTTCCCTGTAATTAACAATGTGTGAAAAACACTGAAGAAAACTTTACAATATTTATAAGCTAAATAGAGTGATAAAATGGATATTTTTATGCTCTAATTAATCTTCTCCATGACTGCAAAGCAAAGGGCACAAATTATCGGTCAAGAGGATTCATTCCTTTCCCTAAAATGTCCACCAGGAAAATATCCTGAAAGTACGAGCATTAAATGTGTATTTTCAGTTTACAAAGAAGTTTCCATGGACACGCAGAAAAGCCGCGAAGGTGCGAACATGTGCTTGATTTCTCACAATTGTACTTTGCTTCTGACCTTGTAGCTAAAATTGCACTTTAGCTCAAACACTTGCGACTTTCTCATCCACTTAAGGGATGACGAAATAAGACTTTACGTGTCACAGAGCTGAGTGAAATATTCTTAACTACTAAAAGCTTGACAAAAAGTCGCATTTTCTCCGAGACTTTTGCAATAAATTGCTTATTCGTTCAGAAATATGTAAAGAATGGCGCAATAAGAGCAAGCCAACTTGACGATCTGAACGAAGGCATTCAAGTTAACGTCGTACATTCCAGCGGCCCTCAAATTGTGCTCTCTTTGCGACATCGCGAGGATCAGAAGGAACGTTTTCTGGTCCTTCAGGCTCAATTCGTACCAATAAGTTTGATAGAGAGTCTCCGAAAGTCTCTCAATTTTCGTTTTGATGATTTCACTGAAGAAACAGAGCATAAATATTTTCATGAGCACAGTGAAGCACAGAATATATGCTGGAATATTATCGTTTTTCTGTCGAGTGAAGGCAAAACCGAATATCAGTAGCAAAATGCCAGTTGAGAATTCCACAAATGACACTTTTTCAATGGCTTCGTTAAACAAGCAAACATTCCTGATCATTTCGTTGTGACGCAAAATAATAACTTTCAAGAAATCGCGTCTGTCTTCAGCCTTTTCTTCATCCTTATCTTTCGTCTTCTTGTCGATGAGTTCCATGTAATCGTTAAGGACGTTGAGAGCTGCCATGACTTGAAGTCCGATGAAAAGAACACTCAAATCAATTGTTGCCATACTAAAACCGCAAAATGCAAGAATTATGATTTGCAGAATGTAAGTTAGTTCTGCAGAAAGAGTGTTTTTAGGATCGAGAAATGGAATTTGCATGAACAAACCCATTTCGCTGTTCGGTCTCATCACAGCAGAAAATAATAATGCAGTTAGGGTAATGATTATAATTCCCCACCTGAAAATTTTGTAAGAACATCAAGAAAAGAGTTAAGAAAATTTCTTCTCGGATTTCTTACTTGGTCAGAAACTTCCAAATCTTGAGCGATTTCACCAAATGCTTTTCCAGAATGAATTGAAGTTCAGGATCAGTTTCTTGTTCGTTGAAAAGCGACTCAATCCATTCCAGCAGTTCGAAGAAATATTGACGCTCCGAAAAACCAGAGAACAATTTCGTAATGATCTGTAGGAAGCCAGAAAGAAACATAATCGTCGTGATAATATTCATGTTCAATTCCATTGAGAATGAGTTGAGAAAGCGAAGGCTTGTTAAGATGGATCCAAGAACAGCAACGAAGAAGAATATTCCAATCCAAAGACGATGTTTTAATGGTCCGGAAAAGACGTTGATCGTTATTGTGGAGATTTGGAAATCAACCACTGATTTTTCACGATTGAACATCTCCTTTTGCTTGGTCGACTTCATTTTTGTACTTTAAAAGTTGATTGAAAATCGTTCCGCACAGTTTAAAGGTTGATTTCGAACTGAAAACTTGTTGTAAAAATGTATTTCTTCTCCCATTGTGCTGATATGAAGTATGTTTTGCGGGAAAAAGGCGGTAATAAGGTTCAATTATCTGAACATCAAAGCGAAAAGGAAATTGAGAAGGATATTATAGTATATAATGGCGTTGACATATATCAAAGATCATGTTTTGTTAATGAAGTTGTAGATTTTATTGATTTTATTGGACATTTGACGTCAAAAGTGCATAATTTTTAAATTTCCAGAAGCTTCTCTTCCCCTCCACGCGTTGCAGGGTGTCTTTGGGGGTGTTGTTTGCAGTGGAAGAGTGTCAGTTGTTCTCAATGCCACTCGCAATTCCCCTTTGTACAAAACCATTTCGACTTCCGCGCGTGCTTCTATGCTTCACAATAAAGAAAATTCGCAAAATATGTGATTCGACGGGGTGAATACTTGTAAGATAGAGACAATTACTTATTATATAGCTGGGATTTACATTATTATTATTATTTATTCATCCCCATCCAATACATGAAATGGGAGAGGGTTTTACGCCGTCCCCAAACTTAATAGCTGTTCGGTTCAGGCGGAGATCAGTTCAAATCATCCACAGACCGGACAATTGAGCACCGATCTCTGTTTCTCCTCCTTTTTAGATAAAATGTACTCGAAATCTATGTAAAATTAACTTTTGGATAGTAACTTTGCCAAATTTCGGTCAAAATTCCGATAAAATCAAGCGAAATTTTCACAAATTAATTATTTTAGGGCAATAATTTACATTTTTTAAGCCATTGGCGGCTGTTTGTGTTAAAATTCAGCAAGTTTCGCAGTGAAATTCACGCTAAATGTATTTCACAGTTTTCTCTTCACCCGTCGAAGTGCATTTTCAGTTTACAAAGAAGTTGCCATGGACACGCAGAAAAGCCGCGAAGGTGCGAACATGTGCTTGATTTCTCACAATTGCAGCTTTGCTTCTGACCTTGCAGCTAAAATTGCACTTGAGCTCAAACACTTGTGACTTTCTCATCCTCCTAAGGGATGACGAAATAAGACTTTATGTGTCACAGAGCTGAGTGAAATATTCTTAACTACTAAAAGCCACTAAAAGCTTGACAAAAAGTCGCATTTTCTCCGAGACTTTTGCAATAAATTGCTTATTCGTCCAAAAATATGTAAAGAATGGCGCAATAAGAGCACGCCAACTTGACGATCTGAACGAAGGCATTCAAGTTAACGTCGTACATTCCAGCGGCCCTCAAATTGTACTCTCTTTGCGACATCGCGAGGATCAGAAGGAACGTTTTCTGGTCCTTCAGGCTCAATTCGTACCAATAAGTTTGATAGAGAGTCGCCGAAAGTCTCTCAATTTTCGATTTGATGATTTCACTGAAGAAACAGAAAATAAATATATTCAGCAATAAACCGAAGCACAGCATATATCCTGAAATATGTTCACTTTTCTGTCGCGTGAAGGCAAAACTGAATATCAGAAGCAAGATTCCAGTTGAGAATTCAATAAATGACACTTTTTCAATGGCTTCGTTAAACAAGCAAACATTCTTGATCATTTCGTTGTGACGCAAAATAATAATTTTCAAGAAATCGCGTCTGTCTTCGTCCTCGTCTTTCGCCTTCTTGTCTATGAGTTCCATGTAATCGTTAAGAACGTCTAGAGCTGCCATGACTTGAAGTCCAATGAAAAGAACACTCAAATCAATTGTTACTACAGTAAAAGCAGCAAATACAGAATTAATGATTTGGATAATGTAAGTTAGTTCTGCAGAAAGTGTGTTTTCGGTCTCCAGAAATGGAATTTGCATGAACAAACCCATTTCGCTGTTCGGTCTCACCGCAGCAGAAAATATTATAGTACTCAGGAGAAAAAACCTTATTCCCCACCTGAAAATTAAAATATAAAAACATCAAGAAAAAGATTCAAGAAAATTTCTTATCGGATTTCTTACTTGGTCAAAAGTTTCCAAATCTTGAGCGATTTCACCAAATGTTTTTCCAGAATGAATTGAAGTTCAGGATCAGTTTCCTGTTCGTTGAAAAGCGACTCAATCCATTCCAACAGTTCGAAGAAACGTTGACGTTCCGAGAATCCAGAGAAGAATTTCGACAAGATTTGTACAAAACCAAAAAGCAGTATAACCGTCGTAACGATATTCAAGTTCAATTGCATTGAGAACGTGTTGCAAAGGCGCACACTTATTAAGATAAGCCCAAGAACATTAACGGAGAAGATGATTCCAATCCAAAGACGATGTTTTAGTGGTCCGGAAAAGACGTTGATCGTTATTGTGGAGATTTGGAAATCAACCACAGATTTTTCACGATTGAACATCTCCTTTTGCTTGGTCAACTTCATTTCTTTATACTTTTAAAGTTGATTGAAAATCGTTCCGCACAGTTTAAGGGTTGATTTCGAACTGAAAACTTGTTGTAAAACTGGGTTTCTTCTCTCATTGTGCTAATATGAAGTGTGTGTTTTGCGGCAAAGAAGGTAGTAATTAGGTTTAATTAGCTGAACATCAAAGCGAAAAGGAAGGTTAATAAAGTAGATAATGGCGTTGACATATTTCCAAGATCATGCTTTGTTAATGAAGTTGTAGATTTTATTGATTTTATTGGACATTTGACGACAGAAGTGAAAATTTTTAAATTTCCACAATTTCCAGAAGCTTCTCATCCCCTCCACGCTTTGCAGGGTGTCTTTGGGGGTGTTGTTTGCAGTGGAAGAGTGTCAGTTGTTCTCAATGCCACTCGCAATTCCCCTTTGTACAAAACCATTTCGACTTCCGCGCGTGCTTCTGTGTTTGACAATAAAGAATCCGCAAAATATGCGATTCGACGGGGCGAATAATTGTAAAATGGAGACAATTACTTATTTTGAATGTAAATTCGCGGGGCGACAACGAGAGTTGAGCATATCTTCAACCCTTAATGGAGTCCCTGTCGATGTGGTGTGGGTGTATCGCGATGTCATTCGCCCTTCGTGCTCGGGGTTTTTTGGGATAGAAAATTGCGAAAGGCGGAATAGAAGGTGAAATGGGAAAATTTAATAAAATTCGAGAAGTCAATCTACATTTTAAGTGGCCTCCAAATTGTAATGAAGATTTTCTGGTTTGGGGTGGAAATTCAACATGGCATTCTTTCACTTTCCCCCACGCAAAAAGCAACCCAAATAAATTCACTCCCGACAATTCCCTTGTAATTTTCCCAAATTTGCCCTCAAATTGAAATTAACCATTAATCCCCATCACAACTGAGTCTTGTCGCGAATGTAAAGCTTGTCTTTTGGGTGATGACAATGAGACCACCAGTAATTACATGAATCACTCTTGTAATCCTTATTCGCGGTTTTTCCGCCATTCAGCCAAAAATATCATTCATATCTTCCCTATCGTTGGTTGATTTGGCAAATAATCCGCTTTCGGGCAAATCTCCGATGTATTTCTTCATTAACTTGGGGGGATGTATTGTTGTGGGCGGAAGGAGCTCTTCTTCCGGACGTTCGCCAACGCATAACGCGCTTATGTATGCCTGTCAGATTAGGCCATCATCTTAGGATTCCCACAGGAATTCACTTCCGTCTCGAATGGCCACCGCAATGCCCAGCAATCGAATCAACCCTCGTGAGGGACACGATGGATGCTGATGGGCTTTTCCGGTAAGTCCGCACGATGATTTATATGCAATCGAGGGGAAGATGCACACAACATATCGAGGGACCAAAGGTTCATAATGATAACATGAATGTAACGCTGTTGTTCTTGCTTCAAAGCTTTTGAATTCCAATTGTCAAGCTTAAAAGAGAAATTTGGGTGATAAATAAGTAAAGAAAGTGCCTGTTTCTGATGTCTCTTGGCATTAGCACAAAAGAAATGTCAATCATTTTGAAGATAAATAGAAGTTTTCTGCAATTTCTTCGCTTGTCCGTTGGTAATCAGCCAGTAAAACCGCCTGAATTTATGACATCTCTGTATTTATTTTCCGCCCAAAACACATATTCATCCCCTCGCAATTCGCAGAAGGGGCGGCAAATGGAAAAGAAATCATCAGAGGTGTGATTTGGCGATGTGGTGTGGGGAAAATTAGTAAAGTCACCGCCAAACACAATTCCGCCGCCATTCAATCACCTCCAAAAACATGCCCACATCTGCGACCCGTAATTTTCCCATTGAGCCGCGCAGATGGAAAAGCCAAGAGAAGCCGAGGGAGAGAAGAAGAAAAAAAAACATAGGCATGGTAACTTTTATTATCGGTGGCAAATCTTCCATCTGAAAAAGTAATTCACTTTTATCGCCGTGCATTTACACACGCTTCGATTTCCTGATTTCTTCCTTTGACGCGCGACTGTGCCATGGGGTGTGACGACACCACCCACACACGAGAGGGTGGTGTCGGGCACCCCCAGCTGTGACAGTGCAGCACACCGCACACAGTTGGGGGGCTGGCGAGGCAGTCGCTTTCCCCTTTTTGCCAACCATTATAGCGACAATTTGTGACTGTGTTTCGGTATTTTATGTCACTCTATATTTTCATCAGTGATTCCATGAATTTATATCTACGGCGTCGCAATCGTGCGTGGTGTGGGCGCGTGAATTAACGGAAGTGCAAGACAGCGTGCCATAAAATATATGTACTCCAAAGGAGGGGCGAAGATGAGAGTTGCACACAGTGCAGATTAAGATGCGGATGCGCGGAAAGTGCACTCAGCGAAAATACGACGTAGCTTTTGACCGAGTTTCCAACGCCGTAATAAACACAATAACGACCAATTCATAAACGTTCGTATCGATTCCCACTAAAACTGAGGAATGTTAAAGATGTGTTATAGCAGATTAAAACAGTCAATTACACGGCTAATAATGGCGATTTTTGGAGCAATTCTGAGTCACACACAGACATGTTAGCCTTCAAACATGTAAAGTTAAACATTCGACGTGAATAAGGAAAAACAGTCCGTGCTATTCTCGCTGAGACAATGTTTTAGAGTTTTAAACGCCACCACAATGTGTAAGAGAAGAAAAAATGGTAAAATTGCCTAAATGATTAAAATTCAAGTAAATATTTTGTAAATTCACGATAAAAAGAATTTATTGCAAACATAATTCATGTTTATGCTTGAAAATTAGAGCCACAATTGCAGATTGATCCATTTTTGCAAGATATTTTCAGATTAAAATCTGTCACTCTGATTTTGACACATTCAACCGATGAAAAATGGTGTAACACACATTTAACACTTCTTGTGTGACTGAGAATTGCTCCAGACGTTATGATATTCATTATATCATTATATTATATTCGTTATATCGTTATGAAGAAAATTCTTACTTTTTCACTCTCAATCGCGCCAATTCAACTCTGGGTGGCGGCAAAGTGTAAAAACTCCCCCTTGAGCTCAAATATTTGAGAACCTTTAATTTTCTTTTTCCTTCCTCACAAAGTGTCCAAGATATTTTTTCACGTGTCAACCACCCTCTTTTTCCCTCCCACTCTTGCGCCTCTCATTCGAGGGATTTTCCACATGAAGACATTCGGGAAAGACGATCAGGTTTTTATCCCATGGCAGACACTGAAAATTGCAGTTGAGGCAGTGGCGGCCAATTAGGACATCTCCCTCGGTATTTTGGGCCATCATTAGTCCCTCCACCCTTCGTGACTGCTCAGGGGAATCTTAGACAGCAATTAGAGTCCCGGAATTGCCACGCAATGTCGGGGCTGCAGAATGCCAAAGACCTGCAAACCACCCACTGGGATTCATATAGAAATTCGAGACGCAGCTCGGTAATCGCCACTTTGATCAGCAATAATATTTGTCGGATCGCTAAACTGCGAGGGTGTGTTTCAACCCCTAAGTTGCATTTGGTGGGTCGAGAATGCAATTCTTGGCATCAGGAGGAACGTGATTCTGGACAGCAGAACGATAAATTTGCCGAGAGGCAGACAGAGAGTGTGGCTAATTGTCTCTGAGTCACTTCACTGGGATCAATTAAGAGGGTGACTTTTGGGCAATTCACCAATTTGACCTGCAACTCATGAGCAATCGAGATTCGAGGACCTTTTACTCCCAATTTCACGTCAAATCAACTGTGCTCTGATGGCAGAAATTCAGAAGGAATTCAGAAGAAATGTCGCACTTTCTTCCCGCAATCAAAGATTGATCATTTGGAGTAATCGCGCAGTGAATTCGTCTTGAGGACTTAACTTGTCGCACTGTCGCGTGTCTAATTCCCATTCATTCACCTCTCGTGTAATTCCTCAACAATTGGAATGAAATAGTCTATTAATTTTCCCCACCGCGAAAGGAATAAAGAATTGCTTCCCATTCGTGATATTTTTCACACTAATTGGATTATTTGCCTCCCTCGCATGGGGCAATCCATCTCCAGCTTCCACCCCTTAAAATCCCAATCACAGCCACTAATGGTTGGGACATTAAAATTGTGAAAATAAGAAAAACCCACAAGTTTAATTACATCCTAAGTGGATTTTCGCCACGGAGTTCCTCTTCATCGCATAACTTGTTCTGCAGAAATTATGGTTGGAGAAAGTTTTTCTTTTGTATCGCCCCACGAAGAGATGATAAAACTGCGATTGTGGGAATTAAATGAGATTTTTAGTTTTAATTTCATCCCATTGTTCGCACTATCTTTGGCTGGAAATTTATCTGTCGGACGAGAAGAAAAGTTATGCAAAAGGAGTGGAAATTGCAATCTGGTGGAGATTTTGATGGGAAAAAGGAGTCATTAAAGATTCTGCACAACTTTCCAGCAACTGCATGACAATTATGGCACGCTGAAAATGTCTTTATTTTGTAATATTCTCTACACTTTTAGTAATTCTCATGATTGCACAATTTAACATTCAAATATATCAAGAATTAATAAACTTTTGTGTTTTTTCACATCTTCAGTGCTTTTTTTACTCACTTTACTCACTAATAGCATACAAAATAGTGCAATATGAGGCAGCAATTTTCATTATCTGAAACATTAAACATTATATTAGTTAGATTGATGAAACTGAGGGAAATGTCAATCGTGCAAACCTTTATGAATGTAAACATATTTGCGTCATACATTCTGCCTGCTTTCAATCCATATTGTCTCTGAGTCATTCCGAGGATGATCAAGAAGATCTTCTGATCTTTCACACTCAAATCATACCAATTGCTCAAGTACAAATTCACAGACAATTGCTCAGTTTTGATTTTGATAAATTCACCAAAAAGACAGAACGAGAACATTTGCAGTGACACACGAAAGCCAACAAAGTAAGCAGAAATCTGTGTCGCATCATTACGAATATAAACAAAGGCCAATATTAATATTGATGTACAAGATATGATTAAAGCGAAACATATTTTATCAATGGCAAAATTAAGCAAATTGATATTTTTTATAATATCACAATGCTGCTTAACGATGACTTTATGATATGCCGGATTTTCATTGATGTTATGTTTCTGAATTGTCATAAAATCATTGAGAATATTGAGAGCCGCGATAATGTGAAGACCAACAAGAACTATCATCATATCACATTTACTCATAAGAACAGCGTTTGCGGGAAACGAAATAATTTGCACAATATAAGCAAGATATATATGAATGTCATTATGAGGATTAGGAAAGGGAATTTCCATTACAAGACCAACATCACTGTCAGGTTGCAAACTAACACTCACAATTAGTCCCGTCGTGAAATACAAAATCATGCACCATCTAAAGAAAAAAGCATTTCAGTATCTCTTCAGTTAGGCAAATGTTTGCAATACTTATTAAGTACTTTCCAGGTGGTGATTGTCCATGTTAGATGTTTTTCCATGAGGAGCTTGAGATGAGGATCAGATTCTTCTTCTTCGTAGAGTGATTCAATCCAATTGAGGAGTTGCAAGAAACTCTCACGATCGAAGTAAGCAAAACCGAGTTTAAGAAATATTTGAAGGAAACCCGAAACAGCCATAAGTGTGTAAAATAAATTCATGCTCAAATCATGAGAAATTGTGTTAATTGTGTGTAAGAGAATTGAGCTCATCGTTAAAATTAACATAATGATTTCCACTGCAATCACAATTCTATTCTTCCAAGGACCAGAAAAGATGTTGAGAGTCGCTGCTGACATTTCAAACTCAATTATCGCCTTTTCACGGTTCAACATCTCTAATTGCTGGGATTTCTTCATGGTTTTACTCAAGTTTAGTCGCAGAAATGCACCTCAGAACTTGTCAAGAGTTGGCTTTTCACTGACTAGGAAAACTTCGATTGAAAGCACACTATTTTTATAAATCCATATCTTTATTGATCGTGTGCAATTAACTCATTTCACGCTATGAATAATTTACTGTTGAGTGCGCAGTTTCTCTGCTTTTTTTCTATTTGGCGCAATATGAAGAAGCAAGTTTACATAATTTGATAGAGAGTTTAAGAAAATTTTTTTTTAATAATAAGTCTAGAATGCATATTTATTCACTAAAAGCATATAAGATGGCGCAACACGACACGGAAACTTTGATAATCTGCAAAAATAGAGACTTATTTGTATTGAAATTCATTAATACGGTAGAAATTACAA